AAGCTGGAAACACAATAAAGCCTCCTACACTCTAATAAATAAAACATTGGTTCAAATAAAAAAAACATGTTAACGTTTTCCACTAGAATTTTTGAGTTAAGCCAACTTCTGGCAGAATAGCATTAATTCAAAGCAATATTTTTGAGTATGGTGAAGTAGCTTTTTTGGCCACAATTAAAAACATTCTTAAGTAAAATTAACTTAATAATTTTCGACTAGAACACAAAAATTTAAGTTGATCCAACGTGAATTTTACGTATAGTGAAGTTACTTTTTGGCCACAAAAAAAAAACACATTCTGAGTAACATGAACTTAATAATTGTCAACAAATACACAGGAATTTAAGTTGATCCAAGATTATATTTATGTATGGTGAAGTAGCTTTTTGATCAAAATAAAACACATTTATAATTAAAATGAACTTAACTGTCGGCATAAATAGTATTTATGTTGGTCAAATATGATATTTTGGTTACAGTGTAGTAATTTTTTGGTCCCACAGGAGATTCTATAAGGGCATTTACCTGTTTCCCAGCAGGCTAAGTCGCTCCAAAATACAACCTTGATCAAAAGCTGTGTCTTATAACCATGACTACCGCGTGGGCAGGCTCATGCATGGTGGTGCCTGCCCACAAAGAAGTCAAGGTTCTAAGACCTTAGAAACTTGTCGATCACTTTTTTCCCCAAACGAAGGTCAGCCTTAACATGCGCTGTGTGTGCTCTTGTGTCATGACCTTCAGAAAAAGAAATGGATGTTGTGTGTATTTGTTTGAATGCGGCAGATGTGATGCCAAATACCTGGACATCAGCTAAGGGACTCGTACCTGGTGCTCAGAAAGAATAGAAATTCAGAAAGATGTATTCAAATGAGTTAGACCCATTTAATTACAATAACAAACATCACAATTCTTTAACGTGCGTGTGAAGTGCAAGATTTGTGGGCTTCAGTTTCCTAGAACACAAGTTTCCTGCTGAAACTTAAGGAGCTGTGTATTAAAATTGTAATACAACCTACTACTTGAATCCTCTTTTTTTTATTAACTTTAACATGTGACAGTGAATCAAAACAATAGATGACAGGCTGCTATGCATTAAATGCACTAATTTAAACATAAAATGAGCAAAGCTTCTTTCATTCAACTTTGTCAGCACTCTTACAAAGTATTCTTGATTCTCTTCTATATTTGACTTTTCACCCTCAAGATTGAGGCCAGCTAAAGAGGGCATTACACAAACTTTAAAACACACCAGTACCCTCAGAACACAGGTCATGGGAGAAATTAAACGCATTCCTTAAAAATGTGCAAATAACAGCATTTAAGGCACGGCAAAACATTAACTCAGAAGACTTAAGAACAGCGCTTTAAAATTTAGTAAAACACATTGAAGTAGTGCCAGAAATGCAGGAATAAGGTTTTTGTGAAACTCACTCACGAATGGTCTATCAAGTCTGCTCTAGAAAATACCAAACTTAAGATTCATTACTTTAGAGCTGGCTTTTTGTCCATCAAGCTCAAGGCATAGCTTTTGAAATACCTCAAAGGTAAATTTCAGCTGCTTGGGATAGGTAAGGTTCAGAGCGTAGATTACTCCCATCATCAAAGCACAGGATCTGGCAACATCAATCCTCTCCAGGATCTTGGATCCCTCAACGATGATGGTTGCAGGCCCATCACCAATGATAGCAATCTTCATGATTTGCATTGCAAGGTCTGCGTTGAGCTCCTCCTCATCCCTGTAGGAGAAATTAAATGTTAGGATGTATAAAATACATAGCTCAAGCACTTCAGGATGACGTGCATAAGGGAATGAACTACTACAGGTAGGAAAATAAGCTAAAACAGGTTGTCTTTTGTGTTTTTCAGTGATTTTACTTTGTCATTCTGTAATTTTTAAAAGCTAAATTAAACCATAATCCAACGTTTAAAATAAAAAATGTCTTGTTTTTCACAGTTTTGTTTTTCCACTTTGAAAAGAAAATCTAATAAATCATTTTTAAGGGTTATTCCACTTCTAAGTGAAATTTTATCTATTGCCATATTGTCACAGTTAGAAAGTGAGAAACAAGCCTTTTGTAAACAGCACACTAATTCTCCGGAAGCAATCCATTTGCTTTAGCAGAGCATAAACAATGTAAGTGAATAGCAGGTGCTAGCATGTTGTGTGCAAAAGTGATTAAAATGACTCAGTAATGAAAACAAATATTTCTTGGGAGCTTAGTAATCATGTTCACGGCAAATGAAAAGTGCAAAAGTAACACGGAAGATTTGCAGAAGCTGATTTAGACTTGAGACTACATTGCAGTTACGACAAACACCGCTGTAAACATCCACTGTATGGTGCATGGATATAACGCAACAGTTGAAAAAGCCTCCAGCTTCCATAAACAAACACACACAGCCACTACTATACAAGCATAGTAAGCTGCAGTAACAATGGATGGATCTTTGATTTGTTGAAGAAATATTGCACAAATAGCATGTTGGTTTATAGACACTGGTCGGCAGTGGCTTCAACTGCTGTGTTATAACCATGTGGAGGCTTACAGCAGTGCTTTGTCGTAATGTAGTCCCAAGTCCAAATCGGCTTCTGAAAATCCTTCATGTCAATTCATACTTTTCATTTGCAGTCAGCATGATTCATGATTCTGAATTACTCAATTCAAGCTTACTTGTTAAGAAGGTCCCTTGGTACCAGGAGAAGATGATGGTTTGAGCCTTTGTCCTGGCAAGAAACACAGCAAAGTAACTGAATATTTCGGTGAGATTCCCACTTTCTTTAGAAGGCTGACCACGTCTTAACTGGAACCCCTAGATCTGCAACGCCAGGACAGTGTATAACACCAGAAAGTCGTGCCTGCACAAAAATACAAAAGATGGTATTTTCAACTTCACTTGTGAGTCTTCAATACAGTGAATAAGTTTCACCTGTCAAAGCTGTGTGAGCTAGAACCAAACATTCAAAACTACATAGACCTGAATACACTGGGTGCTGGAAAGCCTAACGTGGCTTTCCATAGATCAAATATACATAGAGGTGACATGGACTGGGCCAGTCTGTTGGAGCGTGTATCCCCACCGACCGCGATCTTGGAGGGGTCTCTACTCGCCCCCAGTGCATGTATTTCTACTGAGGAATGTGTTAACTCAAAAAACAAACAAACAAAAAAAAAACTAATATATATATATATATATATATATATATATATATATATATATATTAGTTGTTTTTTATCAACAAAAGCAAACATAAGGTGTGGCATGACAGGACAGAATCATTTCTGACAGTAAATACAAAAAAACCCCCAAACTTTTTATACACAAGCTACAATGTCAATAATCCCACTTGATCTGTTTTCATTTCATTCTCCAAAACCAAATTGGAATCAATGCTGAGTCAGCAGCTATGGTCATTTTTGTGCACCCTAGTGTTGCAAAAACTGGCATACTACTGAAACCATATGTGGGATTATTGACCTTTCTTGCCTTATCCGTTTGGAAAAATATTTAAACATTTTCCTTATTTACCATGGGTGAATACATTCCTCAGTAGAAAAAATGCACTGGCGGCGAATGGGGACCCAACCAAGATGGTGTCTGGTCTTTTACCTGTGAAAATAGGCCGAGCAGACGGTGAAGAACCGCTCTTAGCGGTCAACAGACACACCGGACTAATGGGGTTGAACTTCACCGTCACCGTTACGAAAATTTAGAAGCGTTTCTTATCAATTACTAACATAAAATGCTTCCCTTCAAAAAATAAATTTCACATTTCAAAAATAAAATCACAGTGAACACAACTTAGCTTGGCTAGCTACGTTAGCATAGTAGTTAGCGCCGGGGCTAACAACGTCCGCTATCTTTTAATAATTATAAGACAATTACAGTGGTCTGCATTAGAGTAACGTCAGTGTTAAATTTTCCAAAAAGAGCCCAACAATTTATGCTATCGTGGAATTAGCTGCTGTGTGTATATTGAAACACACAAACGCGGGGGCAAGCTAAGATGTATGTTATGTATGTTACGTCGTTGTTTTAAAGTAAACTAACAAAATCCAGAGCGACTGCAAATATGTGTAATTTTCTTATAAAATTACTCACCGTTCGCGACGAACACAGCTAAAGACAGCTATGATAAACCTTGAACACGTGCTGTTGAATATGTCCGCTTGTGTAGAAGAAGGGAACTGTGAGCTGTTTACACATCATCAAGTTGTATTTTACATCGACAGAACTTAAAATTATATTGTTTTTTGATTAATAGAAGATTTTAAATTCAGACAAATCACGATTATATATTGAGTAAAGAGGCATAATTTATGTGTCACCCGAACTCAATAAAATAAAATTTTTAATTAGGAAGTCTAACAGTATTTATGAACTTGATTTTTCATTTCACAACAACATATATATGTAAGTAATGACTAAAGGTCACATTAATTACTTTTTAGAGTGTAGCAGACTGGGTTTTTTTTCAAACCTCTTATTGTTGACGTCCTTTCCTTTCTGCATTGTGCTGGACGGCACAATGCAAAACAGCATCAGGCCAAACACCCTCCATGAAGACTTTCTTCTTGATAAAATCTAAGAATTACATAACCTCCTTCCTTCAGCAGATTTTAGATTCCTGCTCTGGATCAAGCTGCTATAGAAAAATAATTCTTGGGTAAGGTTTTAATAATACAAGTGACCGGTGCAGTTGTGCAATACAGAGCGCTCTTTGTGCGGGGTCATTAGTGATTATGCAACATGATCTGTTTTCCTATTTTGTTTTTGCTTAACAGCCAAGTTAATGTTTCTAAAGTTTAACGCTTCATTCTGTCCAAGCGTGAGCCAGGAGGCTTCAGACAAACTGCAGGGTGAGAGCATTGATACGCACGGCGGTTTTTACTGGAACTCTAAAGGGCGGCCGTGAAACGTTAGCCCATAAAAGGAAGCCAGTTCAAATTATAAACTGACAGCGCTCCCAGTTTGCCCCCAGCAGATATCAGTGCCACACATCAGAGGTCAAATCTCTTTCTTTATTGTGAAACATACCAGTCAGTAAGCTGCGCCAACAGCTGTAAGTCAGCCAACTCCGGGTATAACATACTTTATAACAATCATTTTGACTTTTGAAATGAGTGCAAGAAGGAATGAACAGAGTAAGGTGAAAGGAGGGGACGGGAAGAAGTAGCAAACAGACTCAAAATCATCCGAGAGGGTGAAACTCTTCAGTGGATTCACGCAACTTCTGATGCAGCAGACATCTGGGAAATGCTTCTCGAACGACATGCTCAGTGTCAATAAATATGCACTCTTCATTTTTAACATTATAGCATTTTTAGCATTCTCACTGGCTTTAAATGTGCATAAGACAGCCGTTTAGACTCAAATGTAGGGTACATCCAACAGCTTTGACATTTGAATTCTCAGCAGCATAGTCGAAACAGCTCGCACTCATCGGATTGCATGTAACAGTATACAAAGTCAGTCTCGTAACTCACATTTAATCTCTGTAGCATACTCATTTATGACCCTGGCAGCTTTCTTTTTTTCCTTGTACAACAAATAGTCCTCACTTGTACTCCTCAGATCATAGGATGAGCTTTGAAAGAAAAATGAGATGAATGTTGTAAAGCAGTGTGACGTTAAGCCTTCTAACAAGACTAGCAGTGTTTTAAACTCCAGCAATATATCAGCAGTATGGTAATAAACCCCAATCTAATCAAGGGAGGGGGTGATCTTGACGGGAAGACACGTTTGATAAATGACACCATCTTCTTCATGTGCAACGGGCCTTTAAAAGTCTACATGTTATTTATTTATTTTCCTAAAATGATTCTTAAGTGGGAGAATGTGCAATATATTAGCAGATTGTGCAGGTTGCATCGGCTGCTGACTGCTTTTGCAGCGTCCCAGTAAAAAGAAAAGGCTGGGAACGTCACTTAAAAGCCGTCGTTGCAGCTGAGTGTGTCCCACTGTTGCCACTGTGTTTACACAGTTTTCAGACGCACCTGCTTTCCAAATTTGCATTTCATGGGCAATCATAATCCTTAAACCAAGCTGCAAACAAAACAGGCCATTTCAGTGTCAGGGTATTTGTCTGGGATTTAAAACCCCCCCACAAAAAACAAAGAAAAATCAAAGAGACTAGCTGTTTCTCTGGTAGTAATGACACAAGTAAACGTGTGGAAAATGTAATTAAGTGCTTTCGAATTGATCTTTGATCAGCATATACTCAACAACGTCCTCTCTAGCTTCTATCAGGACCAAAATAAGAGATACCGTTAATACAAAAGACGAATAAACCTTCATACATCTCGGGTTATAAGTTTGGTACAGGTATGAAACAACAGCAAAAGTTTCCCATCAAGCTCCGTATGACAAATTAACAGATTTTAAACCAGAAATTATTTTCTTTTCTCGGTGAATATTTCCACCTGAATGTATTCGCTCAAATCCTCGAGGGCACTTTCTTGGCTATGACGTCACAGAGAGGAGTTACAGTATAAAACATTATAAGAAACATATTGAATTTTCATGATAAATTATAAATTTCCATATATACAAAATTCTGGTGTTTTTCTTCTTTTCTTTCTTTCTTCTTCTTTTTTTTTTTTAAACATATGCACATATGAACAGGATCGTCCAATTGGTAAACACTAGTCCCGTTTTAGCAATAGTTTCTTAGAAAGAAACGTATTCCTTGAAGGTTACAGTGAGACTGTTTGTTGTGATGTCAGTGATGATGATATTTCCCATAAAAGGGGAGGTTTTTTTAACAGGCGCTTCTTTAGATGCCTCTGTGGATATCTGCGTGTCCTCTGTCACAGGAGGTGCATCTTTGACAGCAGGCTCTGGCTCCGGCGGCGTTTCTGCTGGAGCTTGCTTCTTAGTCTTTGGGCAGCTGAGGTCCATCGGCTCCTCTTGACTACCCAAATCCTCGTACGTACATACACCGCTCTGGCGTGGGCCGTTGCAGTGGAGGTCCATAGGTTTATCCTGAGGTGGCGTGACCACAGTGCTGGGCACGCTGAAGCTCCTCGAACTCAGGTAGATTTTGGATACACTCCTATCCTCCACGGGATCGGAGAGCTTTCTCTTGCGGTCAGCGGGAAAAGAAGGGATCCGGATCTGGTCGACAGCTGTTGGCGTTGGAATGTTGGTGTCAACAGCCCAAGAAGTCATAGGAGAGCTAGCGGTCAGCTGTAAGGGTAAATCGTCCGGTAAATCAGCTTGACCACAAGCCACTTCGGTGTTGTATTCCTCTGCTGTGCTTGGTGAAGGTTTGGAGAAATGCCTGTCCTTTGGGGAACACTTTATAGGATGCTCCGCTACAGAGAGGGAACTTCCATTACAAATCTCTTTGGGGATACCGTTCTCCAGGTGCTCCTCCAATTTGGTTGCATGTGCTGGGTTGTTTTCTGACGTCTTCATGTTTTGGGGTTTGTCTTCCCTTGATGATTCCCCGTGTTTACCCTTTGCACCGTGAACCTTGTTACTGTCCATATATTTGCTCATGACAATAACAATACGTCCGTTCTTGTTTTTATTCTTGATTATCTTCATTTTGCTGCTAATAGCACTCGGCAGGGTTGCATCCTTGGGATTGGGCTTAAGGGCGTGCTCACTCTCCGCCTCTTTAACAGCCGGTTTCCTCACTTCCACGGCCAGCTCCTTGACTTTGCTCAGGCAGCCTGTGTCTTTGTCACGGATCCACTTCTGCTGCAGGGCCAGAGGTAAGTTCCAGCCTGGATTTGCAGGTTTACTCGCTGCCTCCTGAACTTTAACCACCTCTTTGAGCCTAGAGGCCTGCGTGTCGTACATATTTGGGTCGGGCTCATAGTGGTGGTGCTTCTTGCTGTTTAGCTGATAGATGAACTTCTTCTTGTTGCTGGCCAGCTGGTCACCGGGGACCTCCTGGCTGCTGGGCTGGTACTGATGGTGCTTCTTGCTGTTCAGCTGGTATTGCTGAGGCTGGGAGCGCTGCTGTGCCTGAATGGGATCAGACTTCAGGTTGCCTTCTGCATCCTGAGATGTTTCTTCAAAACCAGCAGGAATGCTTGATCTTCGGGCAAACGAGGGCACCTTCAATAAGAGATGAGACTCAATTCAGCAATTTACCCACATTTAGACAAAGCTTGCACTGTACTCCACAATACGGTAACAAAATAAAGAAAATGTGAGAAAACTGACTGAAATTCTGGGATTGCTTAAAGTAAAATTAAAGCTCTTAACCAGAGAAGGGTTAGGGTTAAGTAACATACCGACCTTATTATGGAATCTCTGCTTATTTGGCAACACTAAAGGGAAGTGCTTATAACAGCCAAAATGCTTGTGCAAGATTTGTTTTCAGAAGTAGTAGTTTTTCTAAACTGCTCCACCGAATTTGTCATGCATATTTTTTAAAACTGAAAACTGAACTGAGTACACTAAGATAGCTTCATTAAGACATTAGTCATAACAGAATTGTGTGGTCAGGCTTGACAAAGGGGTGACTGTACCTCAGGAGGTGCAGCAGGTCATCTAATAATAGGAAGGTTGGTGGTTTGAAGTATACTGAAACCCAAGTTACTCACCAATGCTTTCACTGGAGTATGAATGTGTGTGTGGAAGTACAGCAGCAAAGCGCTGCATAAGAACCAGTCCATTTACAAAGCCGTTTGTTCTTTTATGGGTTGGGCATAAAAAATAATAAACTAACATTTGTTGCTTGAAGACCTAATATAAAAAATTATAAAACCTATCAGCGATCGAATAAAACTATCCAACGAGCTCTCAGCTCGCCGCCACCCTCCCACCATGTTGCCCCCTCCTGCTTTACCAGTACAGGCCGACCACGCTGACGTCAGAGACGCGGTAGCCGAACGATTTGACTATGACCTCAGGTCAGTGAAGTGCCACCTGACGTGTCACGCTCCATCTCAGATTGTCGGCCACGTGTGACTCTGGCAGGATGGTATGCCTCTTAAGGAGTGACAGTCCATAACAATCAGCTCCGAGTCGCTCAAAATATATAATCACACTTGGCTCAGGTCATGTAAGCTCAGGCCTTTAAATGCCTGAGCTGAGGAAATTAAAGCGGAATGCTGCTTTGAACCATATATTTTCGTCTTGGGATAACAAATGGCAACATGAAAGAAAACATTTCCACTGGTACTGATTCACTTGGTTCAAAAAACAATGAAAAAAAAACCCCCTCAGGCATAAGACCCAGTTTCAGAATGAGTGAGGAGTGAAATTCAGCTGCACCCCCCCTCCCCCTTAAAAAAACCAAAGAAAGAAAGCAACACACGATAACAAGACAGCAGCTCTAGCACACCTGACAGTATCCCTCCTGTTTAAGCCTTTGACAGATTCAGTGGAAATGTTTCTACGGAAACCGTGTTGTGATGACTCATACAATACCTGGAGAAAAAGATGTTTTGGTTTCGGCCCACGTTTTCGATATCCCATCAGCTGCTCTTGCCTCTCTCTGTGAAAACAAAGAATAATGGCATTAAATCTCATGCAACATGCTCGTCTCCCATAAACATATAAAATGCTTCATTTCCCAGACATCTTTAGAAACCTACACGTCTGACGCTTGAATTATTCAAGGTCAAAAGTGGAATTTTGATTTAGAGGACTAATGAATGCCCGCATGTGACCCACTGCAAAGCATTATGGTCCTTATTTGCATAGCTCTCCATGGTAATCGGTCCATTCCTTATTCTCATTATACTGAAGAAATTCAATTAAGGCTAAAGCAGGGAGAATCTCAAACATCCTCCCTCCTACAGCACACCCTTCCCTCTTCTTACATTCAATCTCTAATTAGGGTCATGAGGTACAAATGAAAAGGGATAAATACTACATTGTGGAGTACATCTGGGATACACCCTAATGCCAGGCCTTGTGCAAGACAACGCCTACACTTTGAAAGTGCAGGGTGAAGAGTATCAGATTAATAACAAACATCCACTGGAGCTGTTTTTATTGAGGGAGGAGATGCAGACGTGTGTTTTTGTAGTTGCACTGGCTAGACCAGGCCCGGTCTTTGAAATATTGCTCCCTGATATAAACCTCTACTCATCACTTGGCTCATAAATAACAGCAGTGGGCGAAGGCCGGCTGTACACAGGCGTCACCAGGCGCGAGTAAAGCCAGCCTATTGTTGCTACAGATGTTCAAACTATCGGCGCTGCCAGAAGATTGCCACAATAAACAGTCGACGCTGTTATAATGTGTATGATTTCAAAAAGGCGACTAACGGGGTGACCCCTATTCACAGAAGATTTGGCAATTACAGACTCCCTCGTCGAATCCCATCCCCCATCCACTGGGAGCAGAGAGGAATCCACACACACACACACACACACACAGTGCAGAGGCAGCACTCCATGACCATCAGCACACAGCCACACACACACAGAACCAGGCAGGCGGGCAAGCAGGCTGTGGGGGAATATGAGAGCGGTACACTGGAAACGTTGAAGAGCGCTTGCGTGTCAATTAGCCTTTTCAGAGAAGCAAATTCCTTTCCCCAGCCATCATGTCTTTACCCAGTCCCATGAGCTGCTGCCTCCTGGTCTACAGAGAGAGAAAAGATCTCAGGGGCTGCATGGGTCCAGCAACCCAGACAAGATGTAGTTGTTTGTGCGCTGTAGAGTTTGAATGAACTAACATCTCCACCTCTTAGGTAGACATTGACCCGTTCTTGATTGTTTTACGGGCCTCTGGGTAAACCCAGATTGATAGCAGGCTGTCAACACAAGCATCCAAGGTCCAAAATGAAGATAATTTCATAGGATGTGTCAAAACTGAATGCTGAGCAGAAGCCAGCCTAGCCTTTTGGCAAACTAATAGTGAGGAGAATCCCATCAGGCAGCAGCGTGGCCCTCCTCACATCGAAACCCACAACAAACCTGCTGTGCTCATGTCCTGAACACTAGTCACACTCTCCACAGTGCAGCTTATCCTCTGGCTCCTGACTGCACAGCAAATTAACGCGTCAAACATTATCACGCACAGATTACACTGCCTTTTAACTGTCCTTCATGCATTTTGTGGCAAATGCACCTTCTCCTGTTTTCTCTGTTAGATTGGCCAATGGCCATCCTTGTAGCTCTCCAGGCCAAAAATAACAACAACAAAAAAAAAATCACATTTATTATGATAGATTTTTATAAAGAGAAAATGGAGGTCCTCGTGCAGATCCCTTCAGTCCATTAGCACATTGGGGAATTCTCAATATCATATCCCTAGAGTTTTTACACCAGGGAGAAAAGGAGGGGGGGGGGGTTAGGGCTAGAGTTACTAGCGCGCCCCTCCTCCCATGCCCTTATATGGCCATGGCTGCACTGGAGGCTGAGCGGCCTCGTCCGAAGTCCACGTCTCTCTCACCTGTGTTGAAACGCGACGAGGAGGCGCGGGTCAAGGATGTTTTCCTCTGGCTCCCATGTGTTGTATCTGCAGAGAGGAGCAAACAACTGTCAGAAAGCTGGCACGTGCAGCCTGGCTTTTCCACCCCCAGCTGACAGGCGCACAGGGCTTTGCCTATGACACACACACACACTCCCACGTCTTCACAACTAATGTGCAGTTAGAAAGGAAAGCTGTATCCAGATCTCCAGTGTAATGTAAAAACAAATGGTTCCTGCTTTGTTTTTTTTATTTTACTGTTATTAAATCAAGATGATCGAATCTGCAAGGAACCCCGCTAAGTCGCAGTGCCCGCAGCAGGTTACCAGTCATGGGGACATCCACTGGCAGAGGGGGGAAATGTCAAACAGAAAGCGTCTGTGTGAGCTCTCCAAACGCTTCTCCAGCACCAACATGCAGTCGGCCATTTTAGCACTCCTGTCTCGTAAAATTCGCTGGCAGAGCAGAAATAATTAAAACGGGATTACATGGCTGTGCCTAGCCCCCCCTTCCCTCGCATAAATTAGTGAAGGCATCCGCGGATACACTGAAACGCATACCGACCGCGCTCTTCCAGCTTCTACACACACTCACGTGCGCGCGTACAAGTCACTGTGCACGCTCGCCCTTCATGGTTTGCGTTTTTTTAAGTAACAACACTTGATCTTGTGACATAATATTGAAATGCATCGTTTCGATGCAGAATCGCTGGAAATGCATTAGAAAGCGTGCAGTAAGACTTACTTGGGAGACCAGCCTCGCCACTTGACCAGGTACTCTATCTTGCCCTGTGATGGTGGAGAAGGAGAACATTTTTTTAAACCCGACATTTTCATCGTCCGCGCTTTTTTTTAACCCCCATTTCTTTCCTACAAAGACGCTTCGTGTCTCTTTACCTTTCGTATGCGCTTCTTTTCGATCCCCTCCACCGCAAAGACGTGCTCTCCAGCGGCAGGGAGCTCCATTCTCGGCTCAATCTGATCGAAAGCGGACGGGGAGTAGATGTACTGCTGGCTACGCACAGTCGATGTGCCGTCCGCTCGGTGCGTGCTGTGCGCGCTTGGTAGTTTTCCAGTTGTATCCGAATTCAACTGTATCCCCCCCACCCCACCGCTCTCCCTCTCTCTCCTTTGCACACTCCACGGTCTTGGTACTGAGCGTACAGACATTCACAGTAGTGCGGCTGCGAGCAGCTCTGTTCGTGCAATAGCTTCAGCTCGCCGTGTGACGTCAGGAGGGGAGGGGGGCAGTGTGGATTGGGGGACCTTGCAGAAAGGTTTTTTTTTTATCCCGAGCGTACCGGACGGCGGGACGAATGTTTGGGAATTCAAATCAATCCCAACTTTATCGTCACGAGCACGAAACCCGCCCCTGTAATGGTGCTAATGTAATGCTTTGCTGTCAAACGTAAAAGTGGAGACGCTCGTGAACACCCCAGAAGCCACTGAAATCACTCTGAATGACTTTTATTCAACTACACTTCACGCACAGGTGTAGGTAAAAGGCAGACTCGTTTGCATCAGTCATGCAAATTAAAATGAGCGCGATACTCCAGCAGAAGTTAAGGTGATCTGTTTCCAGCAGTATCGGAGCAGTCGTGTAATACTGCGAGTGATTGGGGCTGAAATTCCGTTTAGTCACCTGTTTTCTGCTGTGGAGCAAACACTGGTTTATCAAGAGACCAGTCTATAAGCGCGGGAACAAAGGTGGGCCCCGACCTTTTACGCGAGAGCCCAGTGTCACCAAAGCTCGGGCCATCACCCCACATCAGACTAGCTGACTAAGTTATTTAAAAGTAGAAGTTCTCTTTTTGTTTGCTATCCCTCTCCGTGAATCAGCACAGTTGTAGATGTGCACAGTGGAGCTTTCTAACGGCGCTGTGCAAATATAGGTCACACACGCTGAGATAGTCAAACCAGTGCCATGTTCCCTGGGCTCGGTGCTGTTAATTTGACAAACGAGAAAGGGGTTGCTGTGCAGCTTTTACTCTACCTGTGACAACTTTAAAGCAGTCGAATCAGCTCCCACAGCCCCTTATTCGACCCCACCCCCCCAGAAAACACCACGATAGCCTTTTATATCTTGAAATATTGGCCGTATCTACATAAAGACAATTTAAATCAAGCGGCATAAACCACATGAGCAGTGAGCATGTTTTCTGGGCTGTAAATGTCATCCACGTTTAGTCAGCTGATTTATATGGACTTTATTAGTGCACAAAAGTACAGTTTTTGTGCGTAAATTGTGATCGCCACAAACCGTAATCAGCAAAAACGGCAAATTTCGTTTGTGTGCGATGAGCCGATGCTGCCATAAAGAAACTAACAAGCCAAAAAAGCCCAAGCTTTTCTCGCTTCAAAAAAAAATTCAGCACCACAAGGGTTAAAATGAAGCCTCTAAGCAGAGCGGCAGCGGACAGCCTATTAAATACAGGCACGATATATCTCTGCCCTGCCATATAAGGTAATGGCGCAAAAGCGCCGAAATATCGCATTTTACACTCTTTAATTCCCGAGTTTGAGCCCTGAAATGTGTGCTGGAGGGGGTTAAGAGCCAACCCGTCACAAACAAGCTCGATTAAAGCCAACTATTTATGCGCTATTCCCGTTTTTTCTCCATGCCCTTCATCCGCGGCCAGGGAGCGTATACGCCCTGCTTCCCTAGCAACAGCACGAAAGGGGAGAGAGAGGCAGAGACACAGAGGGGGGGAGAGAGAGTGAGAATTTAAGTTTGTGACAAACAAACAAAGGTCGTGACAAGAAGAATACGTTGTTAATCTTTTCTGTCGAATCGAAAAGCGCCTTCAAAATCGTCGAGCTCCAAACTGCACAGACCAAAGGGGGAAAAAAAAGCACAAATCTGGGAGCTGTACAGTCTTCACAGTCAGCTCTGTTTACTCAACAGAAACCCAAAATACAAATTATCTATCATTTTATGTTTGTACCGGCGGGAGGGACGCCTGATGTCTGCGTCAAGACAAAGACATTCATTTAGAAAATCCTCTGACTCTGCTTGTCGGGGAGATCTGATCACAGCGCAACATCATGTAACCTGAATATATTTCACAATGAGTCTGCAATCAGTGGGCTTCATCTCAGTGGGATTTAATAATCGCGCATTATTCTGAATTAAAACACTGTTGCCAACACCAGGAATGACACTTTTATTATTTTTACAGATGTGTGAGGATTCTTTTCTTTCTTTTAGATTTTTTCCCCTCCCACACGAGCTTGAGCTCACTTTATGTGGACCGGTGTGAATGTTTTATCACACCTGCGATTTCCATTTGTCCCGAAGCACTGTGGTAATTTTTCTGATCACTTTGGAAAGTCATCACATGTAGATCGAATCGTTTACAGCGCCACAGCTGCGTGTTCTTGTTTGGAAATGAGAAGGTTTCTGGTGTTCCACTCGCTCCCCGTGCCCTCTCAGGAATGCGCTCAGGTGAGCTCATGCCCTGTTGCACTTGTTCACCTGTGACTTTTCAGAACGAGATAAACGTCGCTCCGTGGAAATCGACCAGATTTCGAGGGCAGATTCGATTGCCGACAGTGAGAAAAAGAGAGAGACACAGAGAGAGGGAGACTAAAAAACACACACACACAAAATACACAAAAAAGTGAGCGAGTATTTTATCAAAGGAAGGGCAATCAAAATCTACCGATGCCGATTCAGAGAAAAAAAATTACAGGTGGGATAAGTTTGTGTTGTGAGTCTTTGCATTTTATCCAGGAAAATGCGTCATAATAAACACCAAACGCGCCCAAGCAGACTGCACAGTCAACGCTGTTCTTATACATTTTTTATTAATTAAATAATTTCATTGTCAATAGTTCAAATTTTATGGACTTGTTTTTTCCTTTTTCTTTCCTTTTTTCTCCTTTCTTCTTATTTTCCCTAAGCACCAGAGTGTTTGCAGAAACCCCGCTCCACGTTTATTTTGTCCTTCCTGTGGCCCGTCAAGGTCAATCGAGCCGTTATCTAAAACACGAGGATAAACTCAGGGTCAACCAGTCTGTTTTTTATCTCCTGTTTGAAGGGACTCTTTTCAAACAACCTATGGCGTCATCCGCAACAAGGCTCTTCGTGCCACTGGTTCAGATTATTACTCAGCAGTGAGAGAAAAGAAACATTTTAGGAAACGTGTTTAGGTTGGTTACTTTTATATCAAAACTACAAACTTTTTTCTTTTTTTTAAATTAGAGGAGGTGTTGTGATAATCCTGAGTGGGAATTCTACAGAGGGGGGAAAACAGGCAAGATGCAGAAACTACATGGCTGTGTGTGTGTGTGTGTGTGTGTGTGTGTGTGTGTGTGTGTGTGTGTGTGTGTGTGTGTGTGTGTGGGCCAGGGTCAGGTAAAGTCGTGATCTATGATCTTTAGTCCAGCCTCAGCAGGAAGCATAGAAAGCTGAGTCTTCTGACCTTTTTTCTATTGCAACACCAATTCTTTCATCATTTTCCCTTTCCCCCCTCTTTCACACACACACACACACTCTGCATACACACAGCTGGCTCACTCGAGGTGCAATCCACAAAATGGTGGCTCTGGGTAAGCCAGGAGGCCTTCCCTCCTTGGCACCTGCCACCCGCTGCATCAGGGCTGCCAGCTGAGGGAATCGAGAGAAGCGAGAGGCGGGAAGGAGGTAGCTGGGAACTTGTGACTGTTGCAGTGTTCAGGAAAAAGGAAAAAAAAACGTTGCAAAAAGATGGAGGATGGAGACAGCAGAGAGGGACGAAGAACCGTGGCCAAGCATCTGATTCATTCCTCCACAGAGGAAAAGAGAAAAGGGTTGACTGGTTTAAGGACAGAATACAAGGACAGAGTGGAGAGGAGGAGAAGGAGGATGAGGGGTGGGGGGTATTGCAAAAATGTTTAGAGGGCCCTGAGCCATTCTCAGAGTGCTCAGCAGGCAGTCATTAAGCTCCGCTATCAAACAGGCTGATGTGGCAAGGACATGCAGATGAAACAAGAATGGCGAAGACAGAAGAATCAGGGTCGCGCTGTTGCCGAAAACAGATTATGAAACCTCCGAATGACTGAAACAAAGGCTCTTTAATTGGCTACTGTAAATATGTGCTGTGATTCCCAAACGCGAGTCTGTTCGGGGATAATTACGCTGTTACAAAAGCTTTCTCCTTTCCAGTACCTGCATCCCCTTCTGCTTCAAGTGCTAACACAGAAATCTCTCCTTTCCTTTGTCTGCCCCTGACATATGTTTAATTATGATAATTGTAACAAATGAAAGCTATTAGGAAGTCATTCATCTTGCAGATTTTAATGCGCTATGAGGAACGGGTGGGGAGATTTGTGTGTGTGTGTGTCTGTGGTAGCTGGTGAAGGGTGGGGGGGCAACGGAAATTCCTCCTCCAGTGTCATTGTCACGGCCATTGTTGCGCCGAGGGGTGCTCCTCTGCCAGGGTGGCCCCACCACCACCAACACCCAGCGACCACCCTCCTTTCCTCCCTCCATCTCCATCACTTCTTTTCCTCTCTGCCCCCCCTCCACAAGCCTCCTTGCCTGCGAGGCTGCCGTCGTGTGGGGTTCACACCCTCCCCTCAACTCCACCGCCATACACTTTCCCCATTGATCCCCCGCCTCCTCCCTACCCAGGAGCCTGAGCAATAGGTGGGGGAAAGGGAGCCTGGGAGAGATAGGAAGGGGGGCATAGAGAGGAGTAGGCTTCCAGGGGGTTGGTAGGGGTGAGGGCCAAGGCCAGTGGAGGAGTAAGAAAACGAGGAGGAAGGGGGTGGTGCAGTGGAATTCTAGCAGACTGTAGCTGAATACAGGACTTGTCGATACTGTATTGAGCTGCAGCCATAGGCGAGGAGCGAGGACATCAGGCCGCTAACAGGGACGCATCTTTGTGTTCTAGCACATTGCCACAAATGTGCATTCAGAATGCTGCGGCATGCTGGAATCTCTTGTTCACTACCATCGGCGACAGATACTCTGCAGCTCCATGCAGCAAGACACAATAGTAAGCTTGTTCACGCAGCACAATAGTAAAGCACACAATAGCATGCTTTCAGACAACAATAGCTGAATAATCCACTGAGTAACTGCGTGGATTTTATTTTTTGTTTGATTTAAGGCAGAAATGAATCTTACTGGATGGGATGGTGCAGTTATTTTCACTGGTGCGAAGACCTCACAGTGGCAGGAACAGCTCTCTCCAAATGTGCCTTTGACCCAGTGTTCAGATTTAGCTCCCTTCACTCTAATGCCATGCTAATTATGAGTGACACAGG